ATTTATAAATTACATTTTTGGTGGCATGAATTTTAGAATTCTTTGTCGTTCAAAAAGAAACTCTGATCTTTTAAATCGATATATGCATGCTTAATTCCAAAAATGAGGGTCATGTGACCAGTGATTTTTCGCACTATTTGTCAAAATTGCGGTTAAGGCTAACAGGGTTAGGACTGTTTTCTTAGGCTTAGCGTTAAGATTTGGCTTAGGGTTAGACTTGTGCTAGGTCTACATGGGGACCTAGTGCTTGTCACGTGACCAGCCTTCGCCAGCAAATTCAAACTTCATAGATGAGATCTGCACATAACATTGATCATTCTCAACTACCCCAAGTTCTTTGGCTATGCTTAAGCATGAAGATGACCACCCCCACACTTTCACTTTGGTGCGTTTTGTAAAAAAAGGCCCTAACGCCGGGCTAGGTTTCAAGACAACCAACCCCAAATCTCTCGACTGCCTTCATAATTTTAGCTTAAACTTTGTGAAAGTAATCAAACTTGTTGTACAAACTGGTCCACAAAAGTTTGAAAAGAAATAGCCAATAAATTGTGAAAAGTTATTTTTTGATTAATACTGCTGAAAGTACAATAGCGCCAACAATTTACTRATTTTCCCCGAGTAGAGGCTAACCCTGTATTCCCAAAAGCGTCAAACCTTAGGAATAAAATAAAAACTTTACGTATTAGATAATTACATGATAAGATTGTCGTGGATAGCCACGATTTGGGCTCCCTGTCTAATTACATGTACGCATGCGCGAGCAGGCACATGGTTGGCGGGAAATAAAGAATGAAGTTGAGTATTGTAGTTCTCTGTTTGTCGTCCTAAACCACCGAAGAATTCACCACAAAGATACTATACATTAAAATTGTCATAAGTTTCTATTCACAACGGTACTTTACAAGGTAAACCAGCTTGGAATCCCTGTGGTCGAGCTCGTAAGGCATCACGGGATACAATACATGAAAGTTACCGATTCATAGAGGGAAGAAAAGGTAGAACTAAAGCACGTCTAACCTACGGTCGGTTAGCTCAACTAATAGCCGCGGTACAGTCCACACATGTGTTTTTATACAAACTGTAGCAGTCATTTCAAAGCTCTGAATGCACTAAAGGAACTCGCAGTATATATGATCAAAAATCAAGGACAAAGAATAAATTAAAAATCTTATCCAATCATATTAAAAGCTACTTGTTACATATATTAGAGCGTTATTAGCTGTCGTCACACACTTATCCTCTCACTACTGCTTAAAACATTACTAAGTACAAGAAATATGTCAGGAGAACGAAAATTGACCATGAAATGGCTTGTTTCACGTTTCAAACTGCCAAAASGAATTAGTCAATCGTCTGCCGTTTTTGGCAACGATCAACCTGGACAAGACGAATGTCCCTCGAATGTCAGCGAAATGGAGGCATCGCAGTCCGACCACAGGCGTGAAGAATGCCTGTTCTCTCATTCGGAGTTTGGCACTATCGAAGGAAGAGAAGAAAAAGCTCCCCTACCCAAGTCAAGATTGGTATATGTAAGGGGACGTKCAAGTATCAATGAGCCACAGTCGTTTATCGAYGATGAACTCTTTTTTGAACATCTCCAAACGGGCCGATCCCAGAGGCGAAATGCGATATGCGAAGAAATGGAGAAGGATTTAGTGGTCGCCAAAGTAAATGGAAAAGAGGTGAATATGTTTGAAATCCGTCTAGGTATGGTATGGGTGATTAACTAGTACAATGTAATGTAACGTTCTGATTTATCATATGTTCTATGATTTTTTTTCCCTTTATTTATATCAGTATCAATAAATAACCTATATTTCTCCATTACGTAAAGTTGTTATTTTCATTAGTGAAATAATATGTTTTTTTCAGTACTGAAAATAACATGTTATTTTCGCAAGTGAAAATAATACATTCAAGGTTACACTATACATTTAAAGTAAAAAAGGTCTTTAAAGACATAATTTAGTTTCATATGTAATTATATGATAAAAGGAATATTATATGGTCGCTTGTAGATACGAATTTTATCTTCTCGTGTTTAAAATACTTTTTCAACACTCGAAGATAAAACAACAACGACAAAAAAGCACGAAACAAACAGAAGGAAAAAAGAACAGAAAAAAAAGATAAAAAGCAAAAAAGAAAGAAACAGTTCCAAAATGCTCTGAGAACATAGGAATATCAGGAAAAAAGGTATTCAGAAAATCTTCCAGTAACGGAATTTTCAAAAAAATAATTTGCTATGAAAGTTTGCTGTGAATGTGACGCACMTCAACGTAATCGTTGCTAAGGTCCTAGTAATCGTTGCTAAGGTCCTAGTAATTGTTGCTAAGTTCCTACGCAAGAGTTCTACTGTGAACGTAGGTCGTACACGTAGAGAAACAAAAAGCAACTTAGAATATATGTATCATCACTTAACCTTACTAAAAACCAGTGGGACAGACCTTTCTGTTTTGTAGTGCAGGGGTTACCAGAGCGTTTTGGTCCCAAAAATTCCAAAAGGGAGAGCCTACATAGCACTCAGTTGATGTAATATACTTATAAAGACACAATACAAAACACATAATACAATAGAACGAGGAACAATGGAATACAATACATTTTATGAATACATTACATGAACTGCGTGCTACGGTAGGTCCTCCCAATTCCGAAAAGGTTTTTCAGTTGAACAGAAAACGATTATAAAGCGATTTGAATCAAACCTTTTTGAAATTCCTCACTAGTTCGATTACCAAATATGCAGCGTACTAGAGGCTGACCATATTGTATTTATGTATATATTGTTCCACATTAGCCTCCTCCCCAGGCAACTCTTTTTTTTTCACCTTTGGGCTTCCTTTGTAACGGTCATTTTGGCCGTTAGAGACTAACGGGGCTGTCGCTTGTATGATAGCTAGATTCGCTGACTTTTCGCTCCTTCTCCTGYCGCGATTCGAGCTCCGTGTGATGTTTTCGATAGTATCTTTTCATCATTCGCATCTGATCGAACGCGTTCTCTCGCCTCTCCTCTCTCGCTCCCATTCTTCCTCTTTTGACTCCCAAAAAAAAGGAAGC